CCCCCCCCCCAAAGGCCTGTTGGACACCTCTGTAGAAACAGCTCAACATGGGAAGCTTTTACTCAGGTGTGTTGGGAAGAGTTCTCCAAGCAAAGTGGCCGACAGGCGGCATGCAGACATACTTGTTAGGGTACTTGCGGAAGATGTCCTTGATCACAACAATGGCTTCCTGCACCACATAGTTGACTTTGGTCTGGATGAGATCAAGCAGGGTGCTGACGCAGCGCTCTGCTGATTGCTGTCCAAGGGAAGAGAGGGACATGGTCAACCAGAAGCAGGGAAAAGAATGAACAGCTGCCAGTTCCATCAGGCAGTCATGCTGCATGTGGTGCATTCCCTCAGCAAGGCCAAGAAGAGGCAGAGCACTTCAGTGGCAGCCACACCTTGCTCAACAGCTTTTTAAACCCAACTGGGCTGTGCCTGTTATAGCTTGTATGCACCGAGTTCTGCTTATATCAGATCTCTGCATCCCTGCAGCTTCACAAGGTCTCTGCGCCATCCTCCCATACTATTTCAGGAGCTGTCATCCCCACCCTCACAAAGGGGCTCAATGCACATTTGTTGATCCCCATCCCAATTCCTCCAGGTGATTGTTTCCTTCTCTAGTCTCTACCTGAAGCACACTCCCTGAATATCTGTAATTAGCAATTGGCATGTTCAAAGTATGGTATCCCATTGCCTGGAAGCCATAGGGACAGACTACTGACCCTGCCAGCTTGTCAATTACTGGCCAAGCAGAAAATCACTATACTAAATGCAGAGCATCCAAGACTTCTTCCTGTTGAGTGCTGGAAGAGCTCTACTATAAAAATCACCAAGAAATTTTCTTAATGCATGAGTTGTCATCTTGCAGAAAGATGCTTTCTATATCCCTTTTAGAAAGAGGAAGCTTGATGCATAACATGCCTGTATGAAGCATTTGATATCAAGCAGCCTGCTTCTTCCTCATTCTGTGCCATTAAGAGATCACAAGGCTTCCCATCACAAGTGACCCCTGAAGCCACTTTGCTAGTCCTAGAAGCCTTCAGATGTTTATTTTAAAATGAAGATTGGGAGTCTACCTGTAATCCCACTATGGAAAAAAAAA